AAAAAAAAAAAAAAAAAAAAACTCTTCTAAAAAGGAAACATTAATATAAAACAACTGGAGCAAATACAAACTATATAACAAAGACTGAATCTTTCTAAAATAAAGAACTGATCTACTCGATAGTTTCCCGACCTTCTGCGCCTACCTGGGATGTATCTTGTTCAAGTCTTTTCTTCTGTCTGACAATGTCCTCGAGGTGGTACACTGATCTGGCTACAACCGGGTCCACGTCAAACAAATCGTGCGATGTCAGTGAAGTTTCTTGCCGCAGCATCCACTTATAGAAGGGTAAGCCAAGGGGCAGGTCCACCTGACGGGGAAACAAGCAAAACGTGCTCACAGTTACACTAAGCTTCCACAACTGCCTTCCTGCTAAAAGAGACATTTTAAGAGTTCACTTAGAAAGGCCAAGAGCTCCCCAGGGAAAAAAATAAACAACGTGTTTAGGAACTGTTTCTCCTATTACATGAAATTGATTACCCCCATTTAACTCACTTTTAGGCTCTGATATTGTAAAAATTTACAATACTGAAGAATCCTGTTTAACCACTGATGCTAAAAAGGAATTTTGCAGTGTTGGACACATACTCTCCATAATCCATTTTACATGAGGATCACTGAAGCACCAAGTATTTATAAGAATTGTACTCTACTATTTTGGGTTGAAATAAACTCAGTTTCTCTCGGTCTGTATTACTGCATCTTCTGAAGCAAAAGAGGTTGAAAGGAAAAACCACCTATCTTTAAAACAGTCAATAAATAAACTCCTCCAATCACTGATAAACAGCCCATTCTTCAGTTAAGGTGAAACGTAACCTTGTGAACTTGACATCAGATGAAAATGTCTTACATATACCAACAAAGTACACCTCAGAAAATGAGAACAGGAAATGAAGAACAATCCAGAAGTATTCAAACCTCTGTGAATACTGATTACTTGGGTAATTTTATGACTCCAGCACTCTAACGGAAATCTACTGTGGTTTAGCTACTGCTCATGCTTTCCTACTGAATTAAAAAATTTAACGGCAAACACTTGTTAAAAAATGTAATTAAAACCACCCTCAGGGTTGGATGATTCTCTGAAATCTTGCTACTCAACGTGTGGCATCACCTGGGAGCTGGCAGGAAAATGTGGAATTCAGGGCCTCACTGCAGGCCTACTTGATCAGAATCAGAATTTTTAACAAAATCTGCAATTCACACGCACATTAAAGTTTGAGAAGCACTTTTCTAAGAAAACGCAGCATTGAGTGGAGGACATTAAGGTGGTTTTACAGGACACTGAACAAAAAAGTTGTAGAAAAAACGAACAATTCTAAAACTTACCAATCTGAAATCCATGATAGCCTTGGCCATTAGTTTTCCTAAGAAGCGAAACTTCATCTTAACCTTTGCGATATGAGCGGGCTTAGCTGTCCTACCAAAGGGAAGTGCAAACAGGCCCTGGAGGTTTTGAATATACTTGGTCCCTTCTTGGCTTCCTGGAAAATGAGCAATTCACCAAACTTTAGATGACAGTTCCAAAAATAAAACAAAACAAAAACGTGGTTACTAAGAACCTTTAAGAAGCTCGGTATTCTCAAAATCAGAAAGCAGATCTGATTTTGGTATGAAATTCTGTAGAGCTAGAAGGACCTGCCTTGTTGGATAAATGTAACAGAGCCTAAAAGAAATCAAGTGAATGACTGCAGATCACAGAGCATGGCCTTCCACTAGGGAACTGTTGTTGTTAGCTGCTGTCAAGTCAGCCCCCAACTCAAGTGACCCCACACACACTGGAACAAAATGCTGCCTAGTTCTGCACCATCCCCGTGACTGGTTGCAGATCAGACTGTTGGGATCCATAGGGTTTTCACTGACTGATTTTCAGAAGTAGACTGCTAGGCATTCTTCCTAGTGTGCCTTAGTCTGGAAGCTCTGCTGACACCTATTCAGTATCACAGCAACACGCAAGCCACCAGTGACAGATGGGTGATGGCTGCACATATGAGGTGTACTGGCCAGAAATCAAACCCATGTCTCCCACATAGAAGGCGAGAATTCTACCACTGAACCACCAGTGTCCCCATACTAGGAAATTAGATATATTTAATGAATTTTAAGGGTACGAGTGCATTACCTGATTTGAATAACACAAATTAACTGACGACCTTACAAATTAGGGTTACCTTTTGGATTGCTAAGAGTTACTTCTTCACCTCTCCAGAGACCCAAGTCAGCTCTCTGTAGTTCCTGAGATACAAGTGCATAAAATTCCAGTGTAGGCCCAAGACCTGTGCCAACCTAGAAAAGAACAAAAGAAGAACAATTTCAAATTTAGAATTTGTGGTGCTTTTTTTTACCTGCCAACCTTTGGAGGTATGGATACTAATAACAACTGTCTACCAGGATACACTACAAATTATTTTCCAAACTGTCCTCAGTGAATTTATTCCTTCAGTCTTGGTCACCTGGAGAAAGAACTAGCAATCCTCTATTACTTCCTGCTCCCCACGGCCCCAACATTTTTTTTTTTCTTTTTTTTTTTATTGTACTTCAGGTGAAGGCTTA